GGGATGGTTTGGGGATGGTTTGGCTCATTACATTTATTGTGTACTTTATTTCTATTATTATTACAAAGTAATATATAATGAAATAATTATACAACTTACCATAGGTTGGGGACCCCTGCCCTGGCCTATAAGCTTCAAGGAGGGTAGAAGTCATGATCGTTCACTGACTTCTTTATTTAGCCCCCATCTGGTAATATTTGATTGTCCTCCCCACTCACCTTATTTTATTACTCAGTCACTCCACTTCTGTTCTCACAAAATATCCTGAATTCTATCAGCCCCTTCACTCTGTGATATCTACCCACCAAGACTTAACCTGGCTGAGAATGAGCTTAGGAAATCGAAAGGATCTCAGTTCAAAGCCCATTAGAATTTGGACACCTTATGTCACCACTCCAAGCCCATTTCCTCATTGGTGAAGTGAGAATTATATCATCACTTACCTGATATATACATAGATGAAGTGGCTGAACACAATGTATATTAATTCTGTTCTCCTTTTCTACTGTTATTCTCTCAATCAACTTCACTACTTTCTTGCCATTCCTAAAATGACCAGTGTGATAATCCAATGGTTATTATAAACTTTCTCTACACATTCAAATCCCCAACCCCTTATACCAGTGGTCCCCAAGCTTTCTGGCACCAGGGACCAGTTTCATGGAAGACAACTTTTCCACGAGGTGAGGGTGGAGGAGTGGGGGGGTGGAGCTCAGGTGGTGATGCTTGGCATGCTTCCTAACAGGCCACAGCCCAGGGGTTGAGGACCGCAGCCCTACGCAACCTCCTTCCTTGCTCTCTCAAGAAATAACCTTCTTACCTAAACAGTTGGTCTCCAACTAATGAATGATTTTTTTGACTTTACTACAGGTTTATCAGGATAGTAAATGCATTTTCGACTTACAATATTCTCAACTTAAAATGGGTTTATCAGGAAGTAACCCCATTCATTGTAAGTCAAGAAGCATCTGTATTTCTCAAAAGGCAGCTATCATCAAACCTGAGTATCCTCTTCAAATTAGTTACTACACAACATGAATACTAGGGTAAAGCCTGCAACAGGATCACTCTCTCCTCCGAACCACTGACTAGCTGAGCTACCCGATCGGAACTTAGCATTCTTTTATTATTCTATGTAGGCATGTCCTGTCCCCCAATTCAACAAATCCTTAAACACAGGTCTTACATCTTTGGAGATCCTCATATACCCAACACTTACTGAGTAATATGTATTCAGTAAGTGGCTAATAATCTTTCAGCTTCCAAAGCTTTCTACCAGAAGGTAAACATTAACAATGTTTCAGGATTAACTCACATTATTTTTTTCATCATCCCCCAGAGTTAGTAGTTTTTCTTTTTTTTTTTTTCTTTTAATTTTTTTTATTTTTTGTAGAGATGGGGAATCTCAATATGTTGCCCAGGCTGGTCTCAAATCCTGACCTCAAGTGATCCACCCACCTTGGCCTCCCAAAGTGCTGGCATCACAGGTATAAGCCACCATGCCTGGCCCCCCAGAGTTTTCTATCTGTACACCTTTGTTTCTCCCATTTAGCCTGTCCACTCTCACTTCTGTCTACTCACGTTACACATAATTTAAGACCAAGTTCAAGTGTCAAGCATATAGCCTTCTCAAACCAATCTCACACTAGTCTGAATTTATAACCTTTACTTACACTAGCATTTCCAAAAATGTATTCCAAGGAACATTAGCATGCTTAGGGGTGCTAACAAATGGTCTAGAACATTTGTGAATACTGTACGCTGTATCTCACTCTTTCGAAGTCACAAGGTACATTATTATTTTAAACCCTCTGGGAAGTCCTGTAGTAAGGACCCAAAAATAATTTAACCTAGCCATTCTGAAACTTCTGTGATCATGGAACATTTATTTCAGTGAAAACCATTTAACATTTTGAAGCACATTAGCATTGTCTAAAGTACAATTTGGATATTTTGGTTTTTGTTTATTTGGCAATTAACTATACTTTGATTCTTTTTATGTTGTTATTAAACTTGCAGGTGTTTATGTCTATGTGTCTCCCAAAACTAGACTGGAAATTCCTTGGGAGCAGAGATTATTTCTAGTTCTTTCTTTTCTTCCCTACAGTGTCTGGTAAAATGCAGATGTGAAAACAATATTGAATTTATTCCACACAGTCACAAACTGCACATGTAAGTCTCCTTTTCCTAAGGCAGAATATAGTACTGTTGGTATTTGGAACATTAAAAGAACTACAGAGAATCAAAACTTAAACCAAGACTTCAATTAACAATCTTTCTGAATAACAGAGTATTTCACTAAAGCAAGTAATCCCTAACTCAGAAATCTTTAACTGATGACTTAAACATACATGTGTGTAATGGAGCCTGTTACGGGCTAAATTATGTCTCCCCCAAAATTCATATGTTAAAGCCCAAACCCCTAGTACCTCAGAATATGACAGCATTTGGCAATAGGGCCTTTACAGAGGTAAAAAAGGTTAAAAGAGGTCATATGGATGGGCCCTAATCCAATCTGTCATCCTTAAAAGAAGAAGATGCACCAAGAATGCACGTGCACAGAGGAAAGATCATGTGAGGTCACAGCGAGAAGGTGGCCATCTGCAAGCAAAGGGGAGAGGCCTCAGAAGGAATCAAACCTGCCAACACCTTGATCTTGGACTTCTAGCCTCTGAAATTATCATAAAATAAATTCCTATTGCTTAAACCACCTGTGGTATTTTGTTACAGCAGCCCTTGCACTAATATAAATCCCCTACCCTCACTGCAACACACACACATGCATATGCACACACAAAAGTACCTTTTCTGGTAGCATAAGTTACTGATTAGCAAAAATGTTGTATGTTAATAAAAAGTGAATAAAACAATAAAAAAAAATCTGAAATGATATGAGAACTAGCTGAAGAAAACGGGGAGGAGGACTATGAAAGGGAAAGATTATTCATGTAAGAGTGAAGAGAAATGGACTCAATGGTTAAAAGTAGAGGAAGATTGACTTCAGCTCAAAATAAGAACCTTTAAGAATTAGATTTATACAAATGTTAAATGGGGTGCTCAATAGAAGTGTTTCCCACCACTGGGGATAAAAAAGCACAGTCTGGACAATCCACTCAGCAAGAATGCTGTAGGACAAACTAAATGTCAGATAGGAAGTGTGACTAGAAGTCTCTTAGATTCTTCCAGTGCTATGTCTCTGGGGCTCTAAAATATGTTCTGCTCCAATCCACTGCAGCAACTGCTCCCACTAGCAGTGCCAAAGGAAGAAAGAAGAAAAAGATGTGTTCCTGTCATCAGAATACATGTCCTGTGGAAACAAGACCATAGAGAGTAAATACAGTTGACAAAATCAGCACTATGCCACAGATAAATATAATTTTTATGAATCTCTGTCAGTCAATATTGTATCTATGGTAAAATATGTGCTACATTCCAAATTAACTCAAATTTTAAAACATCTTGTTCATAAGGGAATCTACCTGTATTCCTTTGTGTGCTTCGAGTATGTTAAATTTTGCTTCCCTAGAGTGTAAGCTTCTTGTGGACAGACTACTGTTTATATTTTTGCACACTCCCACAGATCTTTAACATGCTGCTTGATTAACAATTCTGCTTCATTGATAGATTAAGCTCAGTAGATTGTCATGAAACTTTGTAATTAACTGGAGACAGAGTATTCCGTGAGTTAGGGCACAAACTGGTCAATTTCCAGTCCCACTCAGACTGGCTCCCTATGTAATCTCAAGCCAGTCATTTAACCTCTCCAAGCCTGTTTTTCTATTGCCTGCAAAATGGTTAAAGTGAGGATTACAGAAAATAGTCCTTGTAAAAGTGCCTGGCGCACAGTAGGTGCTCAGTAAATGTTTGGTACAATGCTCAGCATGTAGTAAGTGCCATGTGAGTATTAAATAAGTTCTTTCCCTTATTACAATTATTTTATGCAAACAACACTGCCAGATATTTGTATAAAGGGTTGATTTCTCTTAAATATGTAGTACAAGTCCTCCTTTTCCTATCAAAATATTAAAATGACAAATGACAATGATATGCAAATTATATACCTGAAATTATGGTGATGAAATAAGAAATTTGGCTCTGGGACAGAAATCTGCTTCTTCTAGAACTCCCCAAAGGAATTCAACACTCAAAAGGGACCGGTGATTATTCTGCAGCAAAACAATGGTATTCTGAACCTACGTCAATTAATTGATCACATGATACATCCCAATGTTTCTTTCTCTGAGAGCCTGTTCTATTTCTCTGAAGGCAAGGAATACCTCTAAGCTTTTCCCCGCCTAGAACCTGAAACTTATTAGGCCCCGCTCCTCACCCCATGGGAACACAATAAATCCTCATTGCACGGGCTAAGAGAGATAATAAGATGAGGCAGGCCAGAAATTTCCTTCGGGAAGGTATTCGAGGGGCTCCAAGGTATCCACAGCGCACCTGGATACCTCTGGCGGTCTGCTCAGAGGCCCCACAAGGAACCGCCCTATCCAACTTAAGTGACAGAGACGCCGCCACCTCATCAGAGCCCAGTTCACGCTCTCGATGAACACTTTGCCATGCTTGCCGGGCCCCAAACGAACAGCCCTGGCCCCCGATCCTTTCTCTCTCTAAGTACTATTTCAATTGCCTTTAGGCTCCAACCTGTGCAAAAGCGACAGAGACCCAAACCCACCTGGAACTGATGCGGCTCTTCTACAAACGCCAAATCTGGAGAGCGCATGCGTATTGCCCAGGCATCGCTCACGTGACTGGAAGTGGCTGGTTTTTACTTCGTTCGGTGTTTGATTAAAAGGTCTTTGACGTGTGTTAAAGCCGGGATTCCTCCTCCTTTGCGCATGTGCATGCTCCGGGCCTGATGGGAATCGTATTTCTGCGGGCGAAGCGCTCAGTTACTGTATGGAAACCAAACTACAAGTTCTGGGAGTTGTTCTCCGTCCCCGCCCTCCTCTCCCCTGCCCGAGCGGGGAGGCTGGCCCAGCGGCCAGCTCTCAGAACCGCTACGTGCGATGCTGCTGCTGTGGGTGTCGGTGGTCGCAGCCTCGGCCCTGGCGGCCCCGGCCCCCGGGACAGGTGGACAGACGCGGGGAGCAGCCGGAGCGCCCAATGTGGTGCTAGTCGTGAGCGACTCCTTCGTAAGTATACAGTGGGGCAAGGAAGGGACGCCCCGCTCCGGACCCGCAACCGCTGCACTGCCTACCTCCTGTGCCGCAGGCCTTGGGGAGCAGAATCTGAGACATTTTCAAGCATGTTTTACCCCGGTGCAAAGTAAGAAATACATTTTATTGTGAGGCCCCATATACACACATGCACACCACATACATATACATATGTATAAAGCACTTTAGTAAGTGAAACGCACTCTGATAGCCTCTTTGTAAATCTTTGTTGTTTTATCTACTGATCTCGATTCATTAAATTATTTTACAACTACTAAAGAACTTTCGGTTCATACCCCGGTTTGATTCAGTTGTGGGATAAAGTAACATTCTTCATCTCCATAAAAGCGTGTCCAAGAGTCTTTTTCCAGTTTCAAGTTTCCAGGAATTAATGTTTGGGTGAAAAGTAAAGAAAATTTATTTTTACTACCCAGGTATTTAGTAATACTGTTAATGCTGATTTAAATGCCTTTGTTGATATAATTTGATCCACTCCTCCGTATTCCAGAGAAATTGTGTGTATGGGTGTGTTGGTAATGTTGGCACATAGTAAGTATGATGTTTTTTGTTTTTAGGATGGGAAAAACCCATCATAAAATTCATATGGAAATTCAAGCCATAAAAAAAAAATCTTCTAAAACTTACTATAAAGCTACAGCAATCAAGATAATGTATTACTGGCATAAGCATAGGTAGACATATAGATCAATAGAGTAGAATTGAAGGTCTTGAAATAAACTCTCCTAGTTTATACTAAATTGATTTTCAACAAGAGTGCCAAGACCATTTAGTAGGAAAAGAATGATCTTTTAAACAAATGTTGCTAGGAAAACAGAATATGAATGAAGGTGGACCCTGCCTTACACCAAATACAAAAATTAACTCAAAATGAATTGAGGAATAAAAATGTAAATGCCAAAACTATAAAACTTTTATAAGATATAGGTATAAATCTTTGTGACCTTGGATTAGGGAATTAAGTGGGCAAAAAAACTGAATAGACATTTCTCTATAGAAGGTATACAAATGGTCAATAAGTACGTGAAAATATGTTTTCAACATTATTAATCATTAGGGAAATGTAAATCAAACCCACAGTGAGACACCAAGTCACACCCTCTAGGATGGCTGTAACCAAAAAGACAGACAATAATGAGAGTTGGCAAGAATATGGAGGAATTTGAAACCTCACACACCACCGATAGGAATGTAAAATGGTACAGCCATTGGTAAACAGTTTGACAGTTTCTCAACTGGTTAACCATAGAGTTACCATATAGTCTAGCAATTTTGCTCCTAAGTGTATTTCCAAGGGAAATGGAAATATATGTCTACACAAAAACTCATAAATTAATGTTCATTGCAGTTTTATATAATGACCAAAAAGTGGAAACAACCCAAATGTCCATCAGCTGATAAATGGGTAAATAAAATTTGGTAATACTATTCAATAATAAAAAAAAATACAGTACTGATATATGCTACAATGTGTGTGGAACGTAGAAAACATTATGCTAAGAGAAAGAAGCTAGTCACAAAGGAACACATATTATATGATTGCATTTATATGAAATGTCCAAAGAAAGCAAATATATAGAGACAGAAAGTAGATTAGTGGTTGCCTAGGGTTTAGGGGAATAGAGAGTGATGGCTAAGAGGTGCAGAGTTTCTTCTTGTATCGTGATGATTGCACAACTTTGTGAATATACTAAAAACCATCAAATTGTACACTTTAATCAGGTGAGTTGTATGGTATGTGAATTATATCTTAATAAACACCTTTTTAAAAAATAAAAATAAGCTCCCAGTGACAGTGGTCTGGGGAAAAAAATAAGCATCTCTGCCTGGGTCTTAAAAGACATAGGCATCCTCTGCATCTCACTCCCACAACCCCAACCACCTCTCTGCCATTGCACCTGCATTGGTGTTAGTTTTGGTGAGGTTTCAGGAGGAGGGGTAGGGACAAGAATGTATACTACAGAGTCTAGTGAGAATCTCATTCAGTCTGATGGACAGATCTGGGAAAGAACACTACAAAGAGTCTTGCCATGATGACAGATAAGATGGTTAAAGTTACTGTTACATTCTTTCATTAGGATGATGAATGGAATTCTAAACTTCTCTGGTTCTCCCTGGCCCAGAATGATGATAAACTGAGTATCAAGCCATGGTTAAGAGGGAGCAATCGAAATCACAAAATCACATCTACCAAAAGGCTCATCCATCCCAAGAGGGAAAATGTCTGGACGTATGAGAGTTAAAAATAACAGCAGAATGCAGAAACTAAGGCCATTTCTGTCACTTTTAATACAGAAAGCCAATTAATGGGCCTCTTTTTATGCCTAGTGTTATAATGTTTCATTCATTTGAACCTTAGGAATGGCCTTGAGAAAACTGAAATGGGCTATTAGTAAATGATGGAAGTGATCCCAAAAACCATTCTGCAAGATTTTCTCTCCCAACTAAATATTACAGAACTGTGCATTCACTTATGCCTGCCTATCTATTGTAAACCACGTAAACATACTGTGGAAAACTTGCTTTTGCTGTCTTTCATCAGCTAGCCATGTTAAGATGCCTTTCAGTTCATAATTAACTATTATGTGGACCATATCCCATTGATACTATTATCAGTGGTACTAGTGGTAGCCTATGTTTTAAAATTATTTGCTAATGTGTAAAAACTACATGAAGTTAAAAACCAAAACTTCTAGAAAATGTCTAGTATTTTCTCTAATAATATAACATTTTGCTCTTCATTTAAGGTATTATTGATGTGCGTTTGACATTGAGAATATGTATATCATAAGTCAAATAGTATTTCCTGAGAACCTAATCCAATACAAATCATGCAATTGATGAACTTTATCCAGCTTATTAAGCTTTACAAAAGTATACTGTTCAATTTCAAGCACATTAAACTTTTCTTTTATAATTGAACAGATCTCTGGATTAGAGATTCATTTCATTTCATTCACTAAATAATAATTATATATCCCTGCCTTTTATTTCCCAAGCAACAGTCTTAACATAGACCACCTTTCACACGTGGAATTGTCAGGAACTTCCCCAAATGGGGCATTTATCCCCTCCCCTTCTTACTGTCTCTGCCACTTACTCATACTTCGAAGATTCCTGCTTTCTAGACTACTTTTGATACAGATGACATCCCTGTATCAGTCATAGAAATGAATCAATAAAGCACTAATGTCAATTTTAATCTGATACATGTGTTATTGATATGCTGCAGTAGCCATTGGCAGTGATAGTTACATCATTCTGAACCTAGCCTGCAGGACCTGAAGTCCAAGCCTCAGTATTTGAATTATATAGCACCTCTATGACAGTGCTTCTGCTTTGTGGCCTCCTGCTCCATCCCCCAACCTGCTCCATTCCCCAACCAGATAAGTCTGGGTAGCTGGTTGTGTAGATTCCAGGCAGTGGCCACAAATGGTTATCTTCTCATGTCCAAAAGATTATAAGAGTGAGAAATACAGGTATTTGAAATTTGTGAGGATAAGTTTCTGAGGATTTGAATTTATAGACTTAAATTCTTATGGAGGGTAACTATGTACTTTTGTCTTAGGCTTTCTGTGTCATCATTGAGAAGGTCAGTAGTTATTTGCTTATCCTTCAATGATTACTCTTGCTAGAAGTAGTCATTTATTTTGACATAAAACATGCTCTAATTTTCCTCATCTTAAAAAAGACAAATATCTGACCTTAATCCCACATTCTCCTCCAGCTTATGTGCCATTCTCTAACAACCATCCCGTATTTTCCATTTCCCTTTGCAAAATAACTTCTTAGAAAAGGTTTTTTTTTTTTTTTTTTTTTCACCTGCTGCCTCACTTGGTTGCCTCCCATTCTCTTTCCCCTTTTCCAGTTTAGCTATCCATCCCTAACTACTCCATTGAAAGTATTCTCGTCAAGATCACCATCTGTCTCCTTACAGCCAATTCCAATGTGCATTTTCTGGCCTCATTTCAGGCATCGTCTTGAATACCTCAGACTTTACCTCTTTCTTGGTACACTGTCTTCTCTCGGCTTTCATGGTATTGAGTCTCTTCATATCTTCCTCCTTCACTGGCCATTCTTTCTCAGTTTCCCATACTGCCTTCTCCTCCTGTTTGGGACTTCTCGCAGCTTCCTCTAGACCCCTTTCTTTAACTTTAACCATAGAATTTATAATAGCAAAAGAGAGACCCCCCCCCCTCCTTTCGCTCTCTCCCTGAAAGGTTTCATTCAGTCTCCCAGTTTTCAATAACATGAATATTCTAAAGACTCCCAAGTTTATTTCACCAAGATAGACTTCTCTCAAGTCCAGATTCCTGTCTGTATCCAACATCCTACTTTATATCTCCGTTTGGAAATCGCAGACATCACAAAGGTTTATGTGTATCCCATATTTTGGATTGGCTTGCCTTTTAAACTATACTGATAATTATATTGAAAACATATAATAGATGTAACTCCAGGACTAGAATATATTTATTCTGTTTTTTCTCTTTACACCAAAGAGTTTTTCAATTCCCAATTCATCTCCAAAATGCACATCTCCAACTCAAACATCTCTTCTAATCTTCATACTCATTTATCCAGCTGCCCAATTGACATCAGCACTTTACATCTCACAGATATCTCAAACTTTACAACATCCTTTAAATTATTTGAATGGCTGGATACTGCTCATTCTTTAGGTTTCATACATCCCAGAGAAGTCTTCCCAGTCCACTCTATTTGAAGTAGGGCTACCTTTTCCTTCCATGTCACAGGTGTTTTTCAAAGCACATATCATAATGTGTAATTATTCATGGTTTATTTACCAGTATACTTTTTGCGTCATCCACTAGACTATAAGCTTCATGGGGGTAGGGACTCTATTTTATTCACTATTGTATCCTCAGATCTTGGACAGTGCCTGGCACATAGTAAGTATTCACTAAATATTTGTTCAATCAGTCCATCATCTCCCAAAAGAACTTTCCAGAATGTCCTTTAATTACTGTACCCAAATGAGTCCAGGCATAATACTGCATTGAATTCTTGATACTTATAGATAACAGTTATTGGTAACACTCTCTGTACTTGTTTTTTATCTTCTGAGGATTCTTACAATCATATTGAAGTCTTTTGCTATTATAAATTCTGTGGTTAAAGTTAAAGAAAATAATTTTCTTCATTTTTAATGCAGTAAATGTTAATTAAATGTCTTTATTTCAGGATGGAAGGTTAACATTTCATCCAGAAAGTCAGGTAGTGAAACTTCCTTTTATCAACTTAATGAAAGCACATGGCACTTCCTTTCTGAATGCCTATACAAACTCTCCAATCTGTTGCCCATCACGTGCAGGTATGAACATCCTTACTATTAATGGAAGAAAGTGACTACACCCTGAAAATATATTCACAGTTTAAAAGATTATACCTAAAAGTAGGATAGTAAGTCATATTTGGCCCCTAATAAAAAATTTTTTAATAGAAGAGATGTGGGTTTCAAGGTATGTATTGGGTATTGGGGTTATTAGAATTTCTAATTTATTTTTCAAGAGTAGGAAATTTTATCATTTAGAATGATGTCTAGTTCATGTGTTACTGTTTCATTTCCTTATGATTGGTGACTAGGAATCTTTTGACTATCCAAGCAAATGAGGAAATACTCATATTTCCTAAAAGAGTTCTGTTTCCAGGGAAATTTTTCAGTAAGGCTATAGGTAATTGGGAGGACTTATATGGACATTAAAGTATACAACAAAGTAGTTAGAACTTCTTATATTCAGGTTTTTCTGAATTTTTTTATATTATTTCAGATTGCATGTGTTCTCTTTCTCTTCAGTCTCAATTCACTTCTATCCCAAATCTAATTGTTCACTTTTATTGTATTAATTATAATAATTTAACAAATAGGCATAGTTTTAATGGTAAAACATCAGTGACATTAAGCCATGAATAATTTAAAAAATAGGAAAATATTGCCATTTTTATAAATGCTGTCTATTGTCTCACAGTTGTCTTCCTTTTCCTATGTCCTCCTGGTTTATGATTGTTTGCCTTGCAACCCATAAATAGCACTCAACAACTTGGTTTGTCTGTAACGTACTGAGATGGTATTCTCTGTCATTTGAGTCATAAGTCCTTTTACCTACATTTTCAGCACTATCAGCTATTTATTAGTAATGACAAAAGATTAAAGGAAACCTAAACTGTATTATAAATGATATTTTGATAATGAAGGACTAGATGTATTAAAAAAACAGTTTTGTTAACTGTAAAGTGGAATGAGCAGTAGGCTAGGGTGAGATGATGACCTGGATTCTAATCCTCAGTGGATCATGTCAAGCAAATCAGTTTCCTTATCTATGAATTGTTGTATATGCTGTGTACCTCATAGGGTTGTTTTGAACATCAAATGAAATAATGAATGAGAAAGTGGTCAATGAACTTTAACAGTCTCAAAAATGTTAGATGATG